ATGGTCTCCCACATGGGGAGGACTTGGACCATCTTCTGCTGCTTTCCCAGGCCATAGCAGAAGTGGAGCAGCCGGACTTGAACCAGCAGCTATATGGAATACTGGCACTGCAGGCAGTGGCTTTACCCACTAGGCCACAGTACCAGCCCCTGCCATTCATGTTTTCCAAAACAACTTTTTGATATGCTAAGGGCCATGAACTGCAGTTTTCAGACAATCACATAGTATGAACCAACACAAGACCTCTCAACTGATTTTTGTTGTTGCTGTTAATTACTGCTGGAGCTAATGTTGTGGCATAGCGGGTAAAGCTGCCACGTATGACACTGACATCCCATATGGGCACCAGTTTGAGTCCCAGCTGCTCCACTTCCTGTCCAGCTACCTGCTAATATGTTTGGTGGTGGGGCCAGGGGGGAGCAGCAGTGGAGGACAGCTCAAGTGCTTGGGCCCCTGCCGCCCACAAGGGAGACTTGGATAAAGCTCCTGGCTTTGGCCTGGCCCAGCTCTGGCCATTGTGGCCATCTGGGGAGTGACCCAGTGAATGGAAGATATTTCTCTCTCTCTCTCTCTCTCTCTCTCTCTCTCTCTGTAACTCTGACTTTCAAAATAAACAAATCTTTAAAAATAAGAAATGAAGAATGCTTACCTCATAGACTGTCATAATCCCATTACATATTTCGTACATAAGGCCTCAGGATGTGATGCTGTTGTCCCCTTCACCCAACCACAGTGGCAACCATGCCCACTGACACAGTCCATTCCAGGGCCAAGAGGCTGTGCCTCCAGAAAAGGCTTAGAGGAATCAGCAGAAAAAAAAAATTATCCAAATCCTTGATCCTGGCCATTTTCGTTCCTTATACCCAGAGTCTCTTGCCTACCCCATTAAGGCCCACAAAAGTATCCAGTTCTGAAGCAAGACCATAAAACATCTTTGATCTGCCCCCGTCAGAAACAGACAGCTTTATATAATAAACAAAGGTGTAAGTAAGTAAATAAATAAAACCTTTGGTCCACAGTTTACAGGAAAAGGAAAATTCTGGAGAAGTTTAAGAGGAATGACCTTGTACCAAAATAGATTAAAAATTAAATCAATATATACGGTGATATTGGGTCCTTAAAATTTGAACACAATGTATGGTACAGTGGCAATAGATGCCGTAAGACAGTCTGATTTGCCTGACAGTCCCTTTCTGCAGTTCTAGGTTTGAGGTTATGTTGGATGCAAACACCACGCCCCCTCTCCCCTCTCCCCCCACCCCATCCCCGGCTGCCGTCTTAAAGGTATTGCCTGCCTCCCAGACCACACTGCTGCCACCTTTGCCAGCACCTGTGCCAAGCATCTTAAGGCAGGAGTCTATGTTGCAGCCCTGGGCTTCTTCTCCCTACCCCAAGCCCTAACCTTGCTGTGTCATCCCTCAGCCCCCAGCACGGATGAAATGTCACACCGTGTGGGTGTGGTTTCCAGAGCAACCAGCACATGGTTGGATGACACAAGCCAGAAGTGCAGCCGAGTCTATTCCCTGTGAGCAGAACCGGAGGAATGGGAAATTGGATAGAGCTGGGCACATGAGAGCAGAGCCTTCTTCAGTCCCCTGTGGGCCACTCCAAGATTTAATTTCTTCCAGAAGAGGACTTCTCCAGGGAGCAGTTCCATGTGCTGAGTCACTGTCCCCGCTGAGTCGCTTCACAGCCCACAGGGACACAGGGCTCAGCATGGTAACATGTCACACCCCAGTGCCGCCTATTGGCTTCTTGCCTCAGGTCCTTTATTTTCTCACCTATACCATCCTGGACTAGCATTTCCCAAATAAAGTTATCAGCTCTTCAATTCTTGTTTCAGGCTCTTAAAATGTTATATATATTTTTAAAGGTTTATTTATTTATTTGAAGGAGTTACAGAGAGAAAGGGAGAGACAGAGAGATCTGCCTGCTGATTTACTCCCCAAAATGTTCTTTCAAAAGGTTTTGTTTAGGGGCCAGCATTGTGGCATAGTGCCTGCCTCCCATGTGGGTGTTGGCTGCTCCACTTCTGATTCAGCTCCCTGCTAATGTGCCTGGAAAGGCTGCAGGGAATGACCCAAGTACTTGGGCCCCTGTACTCACGTGGGAGGCCTAGAAGAAGCTCCTGGCTTCGGATCAGCCAGCTCTGGCCGTTGTAGCCATTTAGGGAGTGAACCAGTAGATGGAAGATTTCTCCACCCCGCCCCCTGCCACGCCTCCCCATTACTCTGCCCTACAAGTAAATAAGTAAATTTTGTAAGGGGTTTGGTGTAAGAGAACAGTGTGCCCACAGGAATTTTATTGGGGTGCTGGCTATTTTCCCCTGGCTCCCAGGAGTCACCGTCTGCTTTCCTCTGCCTGCATTCTGCCCTGGGAAGCTGTTGAAGTCTGTCAACAGGACCCTGGGGTTGCTGTTGGGATCTTGTCAAGGGGCTAACCTCCCCCCAGGAGACTGGAAGGGGTAATTGTTCTCCTGGCTGTCTCCCTGAGAGAGTCATCTTGGCTGGTTGTGTCCCTCAGATGAAAGTCACGGCTGATAGTTTGCTCTATCTGACTTTCCTCTCTCTGGCGTTTCGATTTCCTTCTTTCTAAGATTTATTTATTTTATTTGGAAGGCAGAGTTACAGAGAGAGAGACAGAGACAGAGAATTTCCATCTTCTAGTTCACTCCCCAGATGGCCACAGCAGCTGGAGCTGAGAAGCCAAACCGAAGCCAGGAATCAGGAGCTTCTTCCAGGTCTCCCACGTGGATACATTTGGGCTGTCTTCTGGTGCCTTCCCAAGCATATCAGTAGGGAGCAGCCATGAACTGCAGGTTCCTTAATCTGCTATGCCACAGCCCCTAGTATTTCAGTTTCTGAGAACTCCTTCCTCTCTCCTCCCTTGAGACTTTGGGGACAGGAAAGCCCCACAGGACCACCCTCAGTCTAGTGCACTTTGCTTTGTGGCTCTTCTACTCCCTGCCTCCTCCTTTGCAATTAGTCTCTTTACAGAGAAGCCTTATTTGAACTATTCCAATCTGTGAATATGTTTCCCATTGGGACAAAGGGTGAAAAGGAATGGCTAAATGATAAACTCAGTGTACATAAACTGTGTTGGGAGAGCAAACAGCCAACACAAATCAGTTAATGTTTTTTTTATTTTTTTATTTTTATTTTTATTTTTTATTTTTTGACAGGCAGAGTGGACAGTGAGAGAGAGAGACAGAGAGAAAGGTCTTCCTTTGCCGTTGGTTCACCCTCCAATGGCCGCCGAGGCCGGCGCGCTGCGGCCGGTGCACCGCGCTGATCCGATGGCAGGAGCCAGGTGCTTTTCCTGGTCTCCCATGGGGTGCAGGGCCCAAGCACTTGGGCCATCCTCCACTGCACTCCCTGGCCACAGCAGAGAGCTGGCCTGGAAGAGGGGCAACCGGGACAGAATCCGGCTCCCCGACCGGGACTAGAACCGGTGTGCCGGCGCCACAAGGCAGAGGATTAGCCTAGTGAGCCACGGCGCTGGCTTTGTTTGTTTCTTACAATGCTGATCTGTTTCACTCTTTTGATGGGAAGAATAACAATCTAATGTGGGATATATGGTTTCTTGGTTGTTATATTAGATCTGGACTCCCACTGACTACCTATTAGCTTTGTTAGGCTGTAAAGCTGCTCTGTTTATTTACCTTCTCAAACAAAATTTTGTACTTAGAGTTGGATGCACAGACCTCACTGTATAGGCACTAACCTTGAATAAATAAATTTATATATAGCTTCAAAATCCTTTCAGTTTAACTAGATGCTAAGAAAGCATCCATCTCAGATGATATTTGTTTTCCAAAGCCCTTGGAGAATTCTTCATGTCTTTCACGTTTTGACTTGAACTACAAGTGAGGCACCGCAGGGGAGCACAGTGATACTGTCAGCAATCTGCATTGACTCCGGGGCCTTCCACACCCCCTGTTCCTCTTCTATTCTTAGCCTTGTCTTGGGCACGTTGTCAGCTCACATTGGGTGCATGGTAAAAGGAAAGTAGCTACTTCCTCTGAAGAAATATTTAGTATGTACAGAATGAGATAGCAGAGCTTTGGAATGTCACAGCCCAGCTGCTGTCGGCAGTATTCCTAAAGCAAATTCTTGACCTCCCCCAACGTCTCAACCCTGTGAGCCAAAGCAGCAGTAACTGGGAGAATTTGAGCACCAATCGTCAGACAGCTGTGTAACTGCAGGGCTCTGTGTAAGCTCAGGTGTCGCAACTTCCCCTGGTTACTGGGCTATTTAAAGCTAAGGATTAAGCAGAGATAGCAGATGCATTACATTTTGCCATCTTCTGAATCAAAACTCTCAAGTAGCATCTAAATAGCAAAGATTGAAATTCACTATATACAGCAATTGAGCCATTTAAAGTTGTTTCCTAAACTTAGTATTAATCTCTAAGAGGATGGGTTAATTACTATCATATTGATATTTCATAAATAGCCAAAGGACAGACGCTATTTTTAAATGCTTCAGATAGGATTTAATTTAGCACAGAAAAAAAAGAACTTTTGAAAAATAAGATGAGTATCTGAAATTCCAACTGAAGTTGAAGGCAGTAATAATTGATTCATAAACAGATTTTGGAACCAGTTTCCAAGCACTGAACACTGAATCTTAACTTTCAGGCTTTTTTTTTTTTTTTTTTTTACAAAGCTCCACTCACTCTCTCATGAGATTACACTGAAAAGAAAGGCTTATCAGGTGAAGGGAATCACTCTGCTACTTTTTTTAGCAATCAAAAAGGTTTTCACAAAATGGGTAATTTCTTCCAATGAGTACAGCTCCATAGCCACCAATTATTGCAAACACAGCCTCTCTGACATTGTATTAGAATAAGCGATTCCAGTGTCTCTCTAGTATCAAACTACAGTCGCCTAAATTTTCAGCGTTTCCATTGTGAGGACAGCATCGGTCTGAGCCACACAAGCACATCTAACCATTTCCCTTTCCTAGTAAGAATAAGAAAGACAACTTCAACATACCAGGAACTGTGTAATTATTTTTTAATCTTCATAAAAATCCTAGTAAGCCACTGCAAACGTGGGCCATACAAGCACCTCCCATGGTACCACTGGCTGGACTGGAATCTGTTCATGTCACATGAACCGGAACCGAAGGCTTCACTTGGTCCCTGCTGGATCCTTCAGTTCCACCACCAAAATCCCATCATGGCAGAGGATGGCGGACAAATCTTTGGTTTCAACGCCATCTGGCAGTTTGTACTGCCGGGTGAAGCTCCTGGAGATAAAACCGTGCTCATCCATTCTGGTTCCGTGCTGAGCCTTAACCAGCAGCCAGCCCTCGAAGGTCTGGATGATGATGTCTTCGGGGAGGAACTGGACCACATCCAGCAGGATCTGAAAGCGGGATTTGCCTCCTTGGGGCGGCAGCTCTGCCGGTGCTGAGTCCGCGGCCGGGCACTGTGCTGCCCTGGCTTTTCTGAGGTCCACGATGCTTGGTCCCGGCAGTGCATACAAAGCATGATCCAGCCTGCAGTCCTCCAGCCCTCGAGCTTCAAACTCCTCCTGGTACCGCACTGGAGTCTCTATGAGGTGCCTCAAAATGATTTTTGCCATAACCGAGGCAAAAAGACAGCTTCCTTTTCAGTCTGTTTTGCCTTCGGTCTGCCTGAGCCAGTGGCCAAGCCTTGTAGCCGCCTACTGACTGGATCCCTGTCCAGGCAGCTCTGCGTTCCTAGCCACTTAATTAGGCCGGAATCAGACCACGCACGCACTCTTGTCTTTTCTCACACGCTGACAATGAATGCCTATTTATAGATCATGTTTCCCAGTTGCATTTAGAAGGCAGCCTGCACAAGCTGCCCGGGCAAGGGCTGTGCTTCCATTCTCAGCTCTCCTTGGCAAATGTGTCTGCCTTGCTGACTTCAAGCAAAAAAGAGAGTAGGAATCAGAAAGAGTAATTGAAAAACTGTCTTTGGAGAGTGCTTTCCCTTTGGGACCTACAATGATCTAAAGAAACAGGACTTCCTAGAACAGTGCAGAGAGAAGCATGTTAACATCTGTTAACATGGGCCAGTACTGCGTTCACCCTCCTCTAGCTGCAAAGCTAGGAAGAGAATCTAGCTACAACTGGATAATTAAGACACACATAAATTCAAGTCTCAAACATCCCACAAACTCTCAGTCCTCAGTCCTGTACATTTCCTTTTATCTTTTGGTCTTTTGGGCTTAAGGAGCATCTGAGTCACATCATCTGAGTTTATTTACATTTGATGCATCAGAATTAAGATCAGATGAGTAAGTGAGATGAGCCTGGGATCAGAGAATAGGGAATCTTAGTCATGTAAGTAGAGTCACCTGGGAGAGAAAAAAAAAGTCAAATCTTTGAACTAGTTCATGTTAAAGTCCAAAAAGCAAACCAACAAAACTGGGGACTAATCTAATCACATCTCTCCTATTGAATTGATAAAACTAAATTATTGTGGTGTAGCTGGTAAAGCCACCACCTGTGGTGCTGGCATCCCTTATGGGCACTGGTTCAAGTCCCAGCTGCTGCACTTCTGATCCAGCTCTATGCTATGGCCTGGGAAAGCAATGGAAGGTGGCCCAAATCCTTGGGGCCCTGAACCCCCGTGGGAGACCTGGAGGAAGCTCCAGGCTCCTGGCTTCAGATAGGTGCAGCTCCAGCTGTTGTGGCCATTTAGAGAATGAACCAGTGGATGGAAGACCTCTCTCTCTCTCTCTCTCTCTCTCTCTCTCTCTCTCTCTCCCACTGTCACTCTCACTCTCACTTTCTCTGCTTCTGGCTCTGTGTAACTCTGCCTTTCAAATAAAATAAATAAATGTTTTTTTTTTAAAAAGTTAAATTACATAGGACAATTTTCACTGTATACAATGTTGTACTTTTTGTTTGCAATAAGTTTTAAGATATGGAAAGCTTCCTGTCCGTGGAGGTTAGTATTTTCTAGATCAGATACACTCAGAAATATCTTTTCATTAAATTGTATGCATTTACCAAGAATGAAAGAAAAATGTCTATGAAAAAGTTAAAATAAGAAAAGGGGGGGGGGGTTGATGTTTGACACAGTGGTCATGCCCACATCCCATACTGGAGTGCCTCCAGCTTTGCTTCCAATTCCAGTTCCCTGCTAATGTGCACCTTGGGAGGCAGAGGTGATGGCTCAAGGACTTGTGGTGCCACCCGCATGGGAAACCCAGATTGAATCTCTGGTTCCTCACTTCAACCTGGCCCAACCTTGGCTGTTGCAGGCTTCTGAGGAGTAAAATAGCAAATGTAAAATCTCCATCTGTCTCTGTCTGCTTTTCAAATAAAATGAAAACTAATAAGTAAAAATTTAAAAAAGAAAGGGACACAAATCTGCCATAATTACTCTAAGAAACATCTCTATTTACATGCTGACGTATACTTAGAAAATGCTCTATGAATGCTGGACACACTCAGGTTTCTTGTCTTCCTCTTTTGAAAGGTAGAGTGACAGAGAGGAAGAAACAGAGAGATCTTTCATCCACTGCTTCACTCCCCAAATGGCTGCTTATGGCTGAGGCTTGGGCAGCTCAAGGCCAGGAGCCTAGAAATCCATCCAAGTCTCCCAAGTGGATGGCAGGGTCCAAGCACTTGAGCCATCTTCTGCTGCCTTCCCAGGTATATTAACAAGGAGCTGGATTGGAAGCAGACAGTTTCCTGGCAGTAATCATAGTATTCCAGGACTTGAACTGGTACTGTGATATGAGATCCTGTCACAGAGAGGAGCTTCACCCACTACACCACACGCCAGCCCCCCCACACTTGGCTTTTTGAACTCCACTTTACAGGTTGGTGGCCCTCTAGGGAAAAACATGTACTCTCTGAGATATTAATGCTCTCTGGCTCATAACTGAGGGACTCTATCAGCAGGAAAGAATGAGAATGATTATTTATCTTAACCCTCGAATGTGCAAAAGGGGTTTTTTCTTGTTCTTCTGCATGCCTTCTAAATGAGGGGAGTATTACCTTCAAAACCTACTTCTAAGGGAAGAAAAATTTGATACAATCTAAGATTACATAAAATCTTGGAATTAGGGGCCTCTTTGGTGCAGCAGTTAATATGCTGTTTGGAATGCCCACTTCCCATATCTAAATGCCTGGGTTTGAGTCCCCACTCTGATTCTAACCCTGCTTCCTGCTAATGTGCACCCTGGGAGGCAGCATGTGATGGCTTAAGTACGTGGGTCCTGCTACCCAAGTGGGAGACCCAGACCGAGTTCCTGCTCCTGACTCTGCCCTGACCCAACCCTGACTGTTGCGGGCATTTGGGGAGCATATCAGTAGATGGAAGAATCTCTCGGTCTCTCTCTGTCTCTCTGTGTCCATCACTCCACCTTTCAAAAAAGTATAAATAAATAAATAAATACTTTAAAAATATTAGAATTATAGGTATGCTATTAAAAATTCATGGGGAAGGTGGAGGAGAAATTGGCTTAAACTGTCTAGAAAGACTGTTGGAAGAAGAGGTCTGATGGAATAATAATAAAAAAAAAAAAGATGAGAAACACTATGCAGTCTGCATCCTTCATGGCTCATCAGACCCAAACGGTACCATGGCTCATTTTGGGAATTTCCTATAGCAACCAGGCTTGGAATCTCAGAAGGAAACCTAGACAGAAGCATGTCTCAGCCTGGTAAGCAGGATGAGGGGGTGGTGGCTACGTGAAGCTCTGGGCAGGGGAAGGGAGGGAGGATATTTGAGTGTCCTGCATTCCCAACTGCACGTTCAAGATCCTGCAGGCAGAAGAGAGCACTGTGATTGGAGGAAGCAAAAGAAACATAATGTGGCCACAGAGAATACTGCAGAGTCGGGGCGAGGGGCCTGAAATGAGGCTAGAGCAGTAAGCAGGGGCCAGATCAGGAAAAGCCTTAATCATCATTTTTGTCCAGACAAAGTAACATTTTTAAGGTTGTCTGAATTCTCACCATTTGCTTAAGGTTGGTAGCAGAATTCTTGCTTGATGGTACACATTACTTTTTATCTCTTCCTAATCAAAAAGCCTATTGATGTCTTTTTTCCCCCAAATTACAGTTTAGAATCCAGAATAGAGGATTTAATTTCATGAAAATCCAACTCAGTGCCTGTTTTGCACCACATGACTGTCACAGCCCAGTGAACACCCATGCACATCTCCTGGCACGTCTCAGATTCGCTACATGGCTACACTCGGATAGCCTCTGATTGTCTTAGCTTCACAGATGTGATCCTTGTATTGCACTAAATCGAATCCATGATCTGAAAATGGGTCACACTTTAGAGTGCGAAAAATACTTTTTACATTATCAGGCAAGGTAGTTTACTGTCTTTGTGACTGAATCACACTTTCGCAGAGAGACTGATGGTTTTAGCTCATTGTCTTCCGTGGCTAAGGCAGACACTGAGCAGTTTAGGAAGGAAGCAGTGCAGTGGGAGCAAGCAGCTCGGCTTTTGTCAAATGCTACCAAGGTGAAGGAAGATGGGGCTACTTGTGGAGATTGAGCAGTGAGAATGGCTTCAGATTCACTAAGGAGAGGGTCAGGGGCAAGGTAGGGCCAGGAGTTAAGTTGTAGTTTGCAGGGCCTGCGCCGTGGCTTAGTAGGTAAAGCCACTGCCTGCAGTGCCAGCATCCCATATGGGTGTGTCGCTCCCCCTCTTCGCGGAGGAACGACACAGGACCCTGCGCTGTTCTTTTGTCCGCTCAGCCCTCCCCAGGTTTGCTGCTGGTTCTTCCCGGGTTGGCTACCAACCCTTCCACCTCCGTGGAAGGGCGGCTCCCCCTGCCACTTTCCCCACTTCCGCTGGGGAGCGGCACACCGCCGGCCGGCTCTCTCGGGGGCTGCTCAGATGTTCCTTCAGATAGATGTTCCTGGTGCATGTTGTCTCTCTCCTCCTTTATAGCCCTCTTCCACCAATCCCAACTATGCTACCCACACGCCGAGTACGCTGCTCTCCTCCAATCAGGAGCGGGATCAGCTCCTGCAGGTTACTGGTTGAACTGGAGGCAGCTGTGTAAAAGTTGTTTTTACTCCTCTCCCAGTGCCATATTGTGGGAGAGCAGATGCATAGAATAAGTCTTAATTCCAGTAACTTAGTCTAGTCCGGGTTGCTCCCCACAGGGTGCTGGTTTGAGTCCCAGATATTCCACTTCCTATCCAGCTCTCTGCTGTGGCTTGGGAAAGCAGTAGAAGATGGCCCAAGTCCTTGTGCCCCTGCACCCACATGGGAGACACGGAAGAAGCTCCTGGCTCCTGGATTCAGATTGGCGTTGCTCTGGCCGTTGTGGCCATCTGGGGAGTGAAGCAGCAGATGGAAGACCTCTCTCTCTCTCTCTGCCTCTCCTTCTCTCTGGGTAACTCTGACTTTCAAATAAATAAATCTTTAAAAAAAATTGTAGTTTGCTGAGGGGTAAATATTGCATATTTCTGCAAGTTCAATGTCAAGCAATGAAGACATTCTAAGTAAGGGTTGACTTAAGTTCTGGAAGATTTGTTTGGTTTTAACAATATGTCTTTAGGAAAATCAACTATTAGTCTACTGGAGAGGAGAGAACTGGTTAGCAAGAGACTCATATGGGTGGGCTGGCATTGTGGTACAGCATAGAGCACCATCATCATATGAGCACCAGTTTATGTCCTGGCAACTCCACTTCTGATCCATTTCCCTGCTAGTGTGCCTAGGAAAGCACCAGAAGATGGCTCAAGTAGTTGGCCTCTTGCCACCCTCATGGGAGACCAGGGCAGAGTTCCAGGATCCTGGTTTTAGCCTGGCCCAGACTCTGTCATTGTGTCTGTTTAGGGAATGAACCAGTGCACAGATTTGTCACCCTCTCTGTAACTCCGCCTTTCAAATAAATAAAAAAAAATCTTAAAAAGAGAGAGAGAGGTTCTGATGGACCATGTTTGATTG